CCCCCCAAAAAAAAACAACCCCCCACCAAATTCCTATTGTGGACCACGATCGAGGGTACTAAAAATCAGGGGATATAATCGATGTTACTTTAAATTCTTCAATAGGTATTCTGTTGTTGTCCCCCTTTACTTCCATTTCTATCCATCGTGTTCTCAGGTAACTTTTGGAACGCCAGAATTTTAATTTTAGTTTTAGTTAAGTGTCGTCAGGCCCAATACTGCGTGCCAAGGCAGAACGACGAATCAGCACTTTTTATGATTTTGAGTTACGTCACGCTGCCATTGGAAATATGGGCATGGCCCTTCAGTCACGTCTGTTTGCCATAGTGAAATATCCTATTTGTAGTACAGATACTTCCTGCCTTTGACACAAGATGCAGAATGGGTATAGGCGTCCACTGAAGCGAAGATACAAAAAATAATAATTTTTGCTGATACGTCAGTCTGCCTTGGCACGGCAGAATAGGGCTGTGATGAAATCATCATCCAAGCACATCATATCATCATCATCATCCAAGCAACTCATATCATCATCATCCAAGCACATCATATCATCATCATCCAAGCACATCATATCATCATCATCCGGTGCCTTGCCGACTGGCGTGGGCGATCATAGACCTCCACTTCACTTTGTCTTGCGTTGCAGCGATGGTGTCTGTTGTTCTTGCTGATCCTAACCTTGTTGTCTACTTGTCCAGTATCTTTTCCCTTTGTCTCTCTTTCTATCAAACTAGCCTGTTGTTACAATATCTCCAATGATCCAAGCACATACATACATATACAGATATGTAGATAAAATATATTGAGATCTTCAGTAAAATACTTCCTCATGAGCAAATCCAACTCACGTCTTTTGCATGGACCACTCAACCACAGACTCATCTGTTTTCTGGTTCATTGCCAGCAAATGTACAATACAATGTGCTAGTCTATCCCAAAGTGTGAGTGGCAATAATGTAGAATGTGCAGCAATCACACGCATTGAGCTAACATTTAACAAAACAGGCATTTCACTCTCAAAGGGAGCTGACACTTTTTTTTGGTTAGCGTTTTACGCACTCGCAACTGCATTAGGTCATATAAGCGTGCAGGACACATTAAACCTTTTCAGTTGGTAGGAAAATTTGAATTTTGCTTGGATGGCGCCCAAAACCTACTCTTATTCTCATCGATTTTGGACCAAGGGATCTTTAAGGGAGCAACTTGCACATGGGACCTCTCGACATTTTAGCCCTTGTCCGAGAAGGCTAAGTGTAGATCTTTCCTACCATAAGATCAGGGGTGTGGCGGAAAGACAGCAATAAGAACGAGCCAAGGAGTAGCAGTAGAAAGGCTGCAGAAGGAGTCTGGAGCCCAGAGGAGGGGGCAAAGGAGATGAGGGAGTGCGGGCAGAAAGTGGAGACGAAAGCAGACAACAGAACATTGTTAGACAGCAGGAAAGGATGTGAAAGGAGAAAATTTTAGAGAAGAAAATATTCCATCACTATCCGGATTCGAACCCATGACCTATTGATTGAATAAGAGGCAAACACCTTAACCTCTTGACCACAAAGAGCCCCCTGACAGACTTTATAAGGTATGATTTGGTACTTTGAGAATATGGTAACATAATGAACAATTCAATAAGGAACAAAACTTTTCTTTTTAATTGGAACATACTTTATTTACATCACTTGTATACAAACTGGGTAATTTAGTCATTTCCACACAGTATCAGGGCCATTCACTCATTTTCATTTCCACACAGTAGCAGTGTCAGAACTACCAAAGGCGCCTTTCCTGACGAGACAGCTGCAGTACATGATTCAGACCTGCCAGCACACTCATCAAAACCCACTCACACACACAACACACACAACTATCACATACAACATACACACAACACACACAACTATCACAACTTCTTTGGAACATGAGCAATTATAGGCTTCGGTCTCGTTTTGAACAGAACTTTTTTGCGTATGATGGCTTTGACATGATAACTCGGCTGGCTGGGGTTGTCTTCAGAACCTGACGTAGGTGCAAGTGCCTGGTCTGCGTGGTCTGCTTCCATTGGTGTCACTTCGCTGCCGTCAGCTGTCTCGGAGTTTGAGGCTTTCGTTATGACGGCAAAGGGTTTTTCGAGACTCATGACCTTCCCGTGGAGTATGTGGTGGCCAATGATGAGGACAGGCGCATCCTGAGGAAACAACAAATGGTCGCTTTTAAAAAATGAAGCACTAAGGGGCTATCCCGAAAAATGCTGTTTTGAGAAAATCGAAGGTACAGATTTTGCCACATGTTCAGTTTCGTTAAAAGACAAGGAGAGTTTTCTCTATAACCAGACAATAAAAACACACCAATGATACCAAACTGTTCCTATAAGTAGGGCAATGCCCACTTTTGGAGTTGGTCAAGATTTCTGGAAACCCCCCCAAATCTGGGTCAGCTTGCTTGTCTTTAAAAGCGACCAAACAGTACCCATTACTAACTCTGTGGAGATAGATCTAGATACAGTCAAAACTGTTTAAGAAGATGGCCCTCCATTGTTGAGGAAAAAAGTGGCGTCTTGGACAGGTAGTGGTAGCTGTTTTACACATTGTCATCATAACATAAGAAATACACAAAGGAGGAAACGGAAAAAGGAGGCAGCCATTTGTACAGGTGCTTGTCCTATATAGATGGTCGTTAGACGTTAACTTTAAAAAAAACTTTAGTAGGAGTTTTACAGCACTTGCAACACAATAAGGTCATATAAGTGCCGAAGATTAGAGGTGCTACAAGAGAGTAACAAACACAAAAAAGAAGGAGAGATAAGGACGATAGACGTTTGATAAGAAAGAAGGAGCAAACCACACCACAGCACCCGCCAACCACCCACCGCTAGACGTTAGACCAGGTTCGACAGTCTTACCAGTTATACATATATTAGTAATGGGAAAAAAACCATGGGATATAAATATATCAGAAAAGCTTTTTCTGGCCACTTGCTCAAGACAGAGTTGCCAGATATCATAGGGAACTCACCGTCAAACTTTTTACAGACGTCCGACATGCATTCCTGTTGTGTCTATATGGACCTTATTTCCCTATTTGCAATGCTTTTTTTTTTCTTCCCAAACGTACAAACATGTATGTCTTAAAATCCCTATCGATACAATTTAGATTAAAATATAATTTATGAGGCAAGCCTTGACCTGCCTCTCAGTTTTTGTAAGTTTTTGTTTTAGTAAGAGTTTTACGGCACTTGTAACACAATAAGGTCATATAAGTGATGAAGATCAGATGTGTTACAAGAGAGTAACAAACACAAAAAAGGAGGTGTGAAAAAGACTATATATAGATATGTTTGATAGGAAAGAAGAAACAAATCACACCAGAGTACCCGCCAACCACCCACGACCTGCCTCTCAGGGCCAACAACTTCTAAGAGGGACACAACATATGAGCAGAAAGACAGAGACATTCAGGACAAACAAATCCTCCCCAAGCAGGAAGCAAATAGGTTTTCTGTGTGCCCCATACAACAGGCATCAGTTGTCTGGATAAAACGTATTTCGAATTTTAAAAAGGCCAATAAACTGCAACTTTTAGCTACGATGGCTATAGCTTGCTCCACCATTTCAAAACCATGAAATGAATTGCAATAGATTACATCCCCTCAATGAGTGAAATATGCTTTTTTTTAAAAGACAAAAACTAATACTACTGAATTTCTTTTAACCCAAAACTTGCATCTGATTCTTCTTATCATTAACCCTATCTGTACATCATGTTTTACTATCGTATCCGTATGACGTGGGGAACTCTGTGCCACCGCTTTCAAAGTGGAAATTTACCCATTAATCCGACCCGTACACTTTGCATAGCAGTCTGTCAAAATGATTTTTTGAGAAATACTGAAAGTATCAAAGAGATCTTCGTACTAGAAGTATTCTAAAAGGTGAAGAATACAACCCCGGGGGTACAAAATGACCCCAGGGCGTACGGATAGGGTTAATACATCTCTATGAAGGGAAGGATCCTGTGTAAGTGAAATGTAATGTAATGTAAGGAGCAAACCCTCAAGACCAGGAGACAGGACCAAAACATACACCTTGAGAAAAGTCAGGTCCTAGTTGGAATGTGTGTAAAGTATCAAAATTACACGGAAATTATGCCACTGATTGCCATACTACACAAACCATTTGAGCCGTTTTATCTTGAAGGCATTGCAGTCCTGATCAAACTCATTAAGGCTGACCCAGAACATCTCAGAGGGAGCCCAACTGGCTTACAACTTGTGCAGTAGACACAAATCACAGAGCTGAAATCCAAATTCAACTACCAGTATAGCTCTATCAACTCGTAGTCATAGCCTATAAACAAGGCTGAGAAAGGTAGACAAAAGATAATTATTATCATAATGAAAGCAACGAATATGCAACAATCATACAATGTTTTAAAAAAATTAGTAAGACTGACAAAAAGAGAAAGTGACCAAGGACCTTGTGAGCAAAGTGTAGATCACCGATAAACTTTCCACTCAACGGAACAGGATGTCTCGTCTCAAGATCCCCCTGGAGCTCCACGATCGCCCATTCTTTACACTCCGTCTCATCGCCAGGGCTGAAGGGAAAAGAAATTCAAAGTTTAAGTTATACTTAGTTTGGTTTAATACCCACACAGTCAACATCATGTAGTGACATCTTCATTAAAGGAAGACTCACATGATCTACACAGCCAGAGTAAACTGTTTTTTAAGTAAGAGTTTTACAGCACTTGCAACACAATAAGGTCATATAAGTGCCGAACATTAGAGGTGTTACAGGAGAGTAACAAACACAAAAAAGAAGGAGGAGAGATCAGGACGATAGATGTTTGATAGGAAAGAAGAAGCAAACCACACAAGAGCACCCGCCAACCACCCACTGACTTCACCCAGTCTACCATATCACAACCAATCAATTTATATATATATCCCTAAACGTGGCTTTGCGTGGCTGCAGCCTCATCCGTTCTGTTTCTACCCATTGAACACCAACATTATTTAGCATCTGCTTAAACATAGAGTTTAAAAAAAAGAGTCCAAGGCTGTGCATGTGAAAAGAGAAAGGACTACCACTACCACTACCACGGCAGTTTGTGCTGTGGGTTTTTTAAATTTCATGGTCGAAGACATTCTTGTGGACCTGCAATTCAAACTGAGTATTCATGATCTCTAATTTCACATTTCCATTGTTTCAAATTAAATTGGGAGTGCTTATTTAGGCCACATATGGCCTAAATAAGGTAAGGGAGGGGGTTTACCTTATTTAGGCCACACATGCTCAAACTACCCTTTATAGGTAACTGAGTTCGTTCCACTTTCATAATGGTGCACCTTTCTCATTTAGTACAGTTTTGTCTCAGTGTACAACTTATAAATCATAATCATAATGAATATTGTAAGAACAAAGCACAATACGCAAAATTTTGCTAAATCCCAATGGTATTCATGAATGAGGGCCAGATTTTTCCTTTATGGAGGGGCAAAAGCTAGGCTACCATTTTGGCATGGCACACTTTGGTCAAGTGAAAAGGTCAAATCCTCTGAATGGACTTCCGGGTCAAATTTGGGGTGTAAAAAGTGTGTACACGATGTGACTTAGTCAAAGTTACGCTATCTTTGCCTGAGTGGCACTCTCTCGTACTGTCTCGTAGTAGTACATGTAGTAGTAGTAGCAAAGATCATGTAGAGAATCTTTGGTAGTGAATGTGCACGCGGCAGGGCGAATGGGCCTTGAGAAGCCCCGTAGACTTTTGTGATCGTCCACGAAGCCTCGTGTTTTGATGGGTCTAAACAACTCAGTGTTAATCGGACTGCCACATCCGACAGGCCTACATCTTTATAAAAGGAAAAGAAAGATCATCAAAATGGTTGAATTCGCGTGAACATCAATTCGGTAGAACTGGAACTATTAAAATTTGCTTCTGAAAACAAGGCAATTTTTATAACTCGATGAAATAAAAACTACTGGCTGTGTTATTCTGTATAAATTATGAAACTTCAGGACGTATTAATATTTTCCAACATCTTTTGACGCCTGAGCTGTAGAGGTTGAAGTTTTCACAACACTTATAGATCTAGTAATAGGGCTTTCCGTAAAAAATGCATGGCATAGATTTACAAAAGCCGAACCACCGAATCGACCGGTCAGCGACCCGGGCACCCCGCTCTCCCCTGCACACTGTGATAACGTGTTGCTTCGGTATCGCATTATTCAACTGTTAATACGTGCGGCTATGGCAACTGGGATGTACTGACTGACAAAACAATTCAGTTTTGTTTTTATTTCACCATTTATTTGACTTTAATAGTGCAGATGTTAGCTAGATCTAGATTCCCTGTCTAGAATCAGTAGTAGCAAGCCTATGCTAGAAGCAGCCGGAGAGCCTAACTACAACTGCTAGATCTAGATCTAACTCATTGCTATGCCTTTGGGCTTTGGAATTGAAATAAAACGAATTTTTCAACAAACATATCACAAACAGTAACAAAGTAAATCAATCTTTACATGTTTGATTCTGGTGATTCTGGAAGATTTGATCAAACTGTGCCAAATTCTAGTTTTTGCCATTCGATGAAAGAAAACCTGACTGCCCACAAAATACTCAAATGTATCAAGTGCAGTAAAACCCTGATGACACAAACTTCATAGGAGAACAACACAGAATTTGTTCATGTTAAGTTGGGCGAATGAAAAGAACAAAAAAAAGGGGGAAACGACCTCTTTCTGTTAGTGTAACCTACTTTTGGTCATTAATAACACTTGCAGGGCTGCGTTACTTCCAACCTCAGATGGAAGCTTTGATTTCACAGAATAAGGTTCAAGTCTTGGTAATATACATCAACACGATTTGATGGTTTTCTTCAATACTTCTCAGTTCAAAGAGAGAAATAAAATGGGTTTTTTAATCTTTTAAAAGATTAATAAATCATGGCTGAACATTGTAATATAAATATGTTATCTGAAAATCTATTTTTTAAAAATGATGTTCCCATTCAATTACGGGGACGGTTTGCATCTTCCCAGTGTCTCATCTCAAGTTTTTATACCATTCACTTTAGATGACTTCTTCATAATCTAGACATATTTAGATTTCTAGTCTATTATTACTAGATCTAGATCTTAATAAAAGAAGCCCGAAATTAACAAAAGAACAGCTTAACTAAAGCTATTACTCACAGTTTCACTAGAATTTGGACCATTTTAGTTTTAGTTTACGGCCACTACTTGACTGACTTGACTTGTCCCAGGTTGAGTATTGCAGAGAAGACAAAGTAATGAAATGATCCGTCGGACTGCCAAGTCCCAAGCTGTGCCTTGCTGGAGCTGTTGGTCAAAGAGTAGTACTGTGCTAGTTGGTCTTCTGAAAAATCCTTTAAATTGTAAGTCATCTATTGGATTCTCTAAATCGGATACAGTGGAACTCGGATTCAACGAGGTCGTTGGGCCTGACCTAAAATCTCGTTGAATCCGAGTGTTCGTTATAGCAAACACGAGGTTTTGTGTAGATAATTACAGGCACTGAGCAAGTAATGTACAAGAGAAGTCACAAGTAGTGCCTGAAAGGCCTGCTTTTTTTGGGCTATATTAAAAAATAGACCGATTTGTTCAAATACACACGCCAGTGTCATCTCAATTATTTACCAAAAAGTTGTGCTGCTGTGTAGAGCCTAGCCTACGGCAACTGTTGATTCCATAGAGACCAGAGCACAATTCAATACGTAGATCTAAGTCAAGACTAGCTTATTATTGCAATAGTGATCAGTTGCCGAGGTGAAAAAAAAGACTGACGCGTTTGTATGCGACGTTCAACGCCCGGATCGCTAGTGCCCCCCCAACACGCATGCACAGCAACACGTGTGCAGGCCGCCCATCCGACCCCGACACACGCCAGAGTAGACACGTGCGCGTGCAACAACACATGTGTTGGTATGAAAAAAGGCCGCTGATTGGTCGCATGCAATCGGTTAAGTAAATAATGGTTCACGATGCAGGAGCAATGGATGGTTTCCGGGAATAGATAAAGTTCGTTCTGGGAGAAAAATTAGCGAAGCCACGTCTGCGGGGGCTGTTCACCCTGGAAGTGCCCTCGTTGAATCCGAGCTCGCTGATTTAAGTGTTCGTTGAATCCGGGTTACTTTTATTGATTTTAAATAAGAAAAAAATGGGGAATCTGTCTCATCTCGTTGAATCCGAGCTCGTTAAATCCGAGTTTCACTGTACCAGTGAACTCCTCACACAGTGAAGTCGTCACATACCTCCAGTGATCTCGTCACATAGGTTTCGGCAAATTCGACCACGGAGCAAATTCAATGCTGCATCAACCTAGATCTAGATTTGGCTTTTGCGTATAATTTTACCCATGTGTCGTTGCACATTTGATTCTATATCTAAAAATAAAATCTGCGCTTCCTAGGCTTCCAATTGTTTCTTTTTTTAGTCAAAAAGCTCCAGAAAACTCAGTCTCTGCGTACTTGACTTATATAATTGGAAGGGGAAAAAAGCTCAGAAAAGGAGGAAGACAGACAACGGTAAATTCGTAGAAAAGGCCCCAAACCCATTTTTACGCCAGCTCTTTTTACTTGACTTCCTTTTTTGTTTTCTATTGTGTACATAGATTATAGATCTAGAATGTATTATAAATTTGTAAGGCGTTAAGTCGGGACCACTTCTCCCGAAGAGAGCCGTTCACTGTTATTTGGATACTTTTTTCTGGTGAACTCACCACACGTTTTTCAGCTGTGACCACTTTACCGTGTGACGAGTTCACTGATTCCCCTCTAAATCTACTAGTAAGTGAACCAACTCTTGTACAGTTTGCTCAGTGGACCATGTCACGGACGTAAGTGCCGCCCCTCTGCAGAACTCCTGCCCCAGAGTGTCTTGCGTTTACGGTGTCTCATTAGGGCTGGACTGAACTTTGGTGGACACTCCGGGTTTACATATGTGCACTGGCCATAACAACAGTGGGGGGATTCAGGGGGGCTTGCCTCCTTTTAGTGGAGGGTTTCAGCCCCCCCCCGGCAAGAATTAAGAACAATCGTCTATTTTCGAAAAAACGCACACACCTGTGGTGACTAGGTGTGTTCACTTTGCTCTGTGCTTATTTTGTTTTTTCTCAGTTATTCTGTTGTGATTGGACTCTAATTTATTACCAAAATCAAGATGAATCATTGGTGCTTAGTCTTAGTATTACCATTCATTCTTCAACCATAGAAAGTATAGTATGATAAATTTTTGTATAACAGCATGGGCCGGGAAAACAAGACAACATTGATAAAGAAAAATTCAATCAATTAATACGGAAAGCAATCATGTAAAATTTCAAAATCTACATTCCCCTCCTACTTGGATGAATTGTACAATATAAGGAAGGATGTACGTATCTTATCTTCTCATCTAAATCAAAATGTGGGAAGATTGAAGAATACCGGACCACTCATAACAGTAGACCTATTGCCAATTGCGTGAGAATGTGTGGTGGGTGGGATGGGTGGTAGGGGTGGACAGATCTACCGGTCCGAGATTCTCCATTGGCCATTGTGAGAGTATCAAAAACAGGAGAAAATCATGAATTCCTAAGGTTGAGACACAGGCAAAGTCCCTCCGCTGGTCCGGTATTCTTCAATCTTACCCAAAATGTAAAAATGGAAAACAATTGAATAACGTAACATAAGAGCGGATCATTGCTATTCTCGAGTCGAGCTACTCAAGGCTACTGTAACGTTATAGTGAGTTGAGTGAGACATACATACACTTGACTTGCACTGCTGACAGTCGGCCTACCGACGACACTTGCAAATGCTAGAAGTTGTACTTTCGCTTGCCAATACAGAAAAAAACACTCTATATAGGCTCATCACAAAAGACGCATACTGTGATTAGCCTAATAGTGCCCACCGAAAACACGTTGATGATTGTATTGACTTTATTGCTGGACTGCTGGGCCAACAACAACAATCAACAAACTCTCGGCACACAGCTGGCTCGCTCGCGCCTCCCGCCAAAATTTTCGCTATTTTCGATCTCATATTTTTGTGAAATCATTAATAAAAACTGTTTAGAACTGCGAGATCATACCAAGAAGAATCAAATACTGAAATAGATTAGGCTATAACCACACACATAATTTTTAAGTCCTTCTGTGCAAATAAGCTGACATAGTTTCAAAGATACATTTCATCAGGCATAAACAAAAATACCTTGATTAAGGTCAATTATAATGCATATCTGCGAAAAGTATTTTGACGAGTAGGCAAGGTCTTTACTAGATTTTATCAAAAAAGATTTTGGTTTCAAGCAACCAATCAAAATGCCCATGTTCCTTTTGTGCTGAACACTGAACACACAAGATGGCGTCCTCCATGTGAAGAGGTTCATAATACAACAGAGACACGCTGCATGGCCATGTATTCAACTGGTAAATTTTTTAAACTTAATTATGTCGTTTTCTTGGCATCTGTCAACCCACCCATTCTTAAAGAAGAACTTTCGAATTGCACAATTTGTTCTTTGAGGTCTTTGCATCTTTCCATGCATAATAATATGCTCGAGGCCTAATCTTGACTCAAGATGCTTGACTGACAAGACTAGAATCTACAGACTACACTGTTAGTAGTGCTACTGTACTGTAGTTTAGTTGTAGTCTACTTCTCATAATTATGATAATACTTCATTCTAGATTCTAGATCTAGATATCTGATTCTAGATCTAGATCTATTAGTAATGTATTAGCTTAATAATTTTACAAGACATGATATTTGTGAGTGTGTGTGTGTACAACTTGTACAACTTGAGGAGGTGGTTAATTTATGGAACGAGAATTGCTGAGATTGTTTTATAAATAAAAGATCTAATCTAGATCTAGATCTTGTCTAGATATATCTAGAAATCTAGATCTAGATTAGATCTATATGGAATCTAGATCTAAATCTAACACAAAAAATACCCCCCCCCCCCCCCCCCCAAAAAAAAAGGCCGGCACTATTTCTCCGAACGTTTGGGAAAATAAAGCTAGGCACTATTTCTCCGAACGTTCGGGAAAATAAAGCTAGGCACTATTTCTCCGAACGTTCGGGAAAATAAAGCTGGGCACTATTTCTCCGAACACTCTGAAATCACATCCTTTCCCGCAAATTTCGGATATTATATAGATCTAGATCTATAATTATAGTATAGGCCTACCAAAGATTGTTCGTATACAATATGGTCCAAGCGGTCCAAAAAATGTCCGCAGTAAATATTTATATAAAGAATGCTACAATTCCAAACAGTTTTTCGCTACAGATATGACGAGTTGCCTATGAAGGGTGCTGCTCTTAAACGTAATGTGTTGTGTTCACTCGTGTGCTGTCTAGATCTAGATCTAGATCTACGGAGGCGGAGGGTTATTGATAACGACACATAGAACTATTAGAACTGGCATCTGCGGTGGTCACTGCCACGACCAATAATGTACCGACACTGGCAGGCCCCTTAAGGTGTGTGATTCCATAATTTACATGTAATATCCTCTCCTTTAAAAAAAAAAAAAATACTCACATTTAGGGTTAAAACAGCCAATCTTCTTCGGACAGGTGGACACACGCCCTTATTTGTTAATGTTTGTTGTTTATCATGGGCTGTTCTAATTTTGATTTCATTCTGTTGTGAAACTTTTCTTTTTCACGTTTTTACACTCATCTAAAAATCTGTAGACTAGCTCTTCATCTTGAAAATTGAAATAAATATAGACCCAAAAATTTGCTCCTGTGTGTGTGTGTGTGTGTGTGTATGTGCGTGTGTGAGTGTGTCTGTGTGTGATAGTAAGTGTGTAAGTGGAGAGTGAGTGTGTGTGTGTTTGTTTTTCGGGCTTTATTTCAGCCTTCATTCAGTAACAGTTCAAAGTATACACAAATAGAAACACAGGGTCCATTCACTCTAGGGCTCACGAGTCGTTCATCTTTTTCAGTTTCACTCATTCATTCAATTCCCGTGTTCTCTCCCGCCGCTCATCCCCGTCCGCATGGCTTTCACACCCCACCCCCTCCCTCCAGGCATACACAAAGAAAATCTCACTCATTCCCTTGCACCCTGCGAACCATGGACAATAATATAGGCAAAACACTGCCTAACCTAAGCTGCATTATTTTCGTTCGTGAGCTGTGGACCAGGCCAGGGGGGTCGGTGTTGTCGTCTTGTAGTTGCTGTCGGGTGTGGATACACTTGCACATTCTTCCTTTAACCCGCTCTTTCACTCACACTGTCTCTCCATCCACAGCTCAGCTCGTCATACGTTCAAAAGTTGTCCATTGGTCGTGTTTGTTTAGTTAGTGTGTGTATAAGTTTGTGTGTGTACATGTGCATGATGGTGGTGGGTGTGTGGTGGGTTTTACTGAAGGTTGTCTGTAGGCGGGCTTTCCATGCGGTGTTCCTTCCCCCAGACCAGAGGCAGAATGAAAGTTGGCGCCGAACTCTCGCAATAAATAGGCAAAACATCACGAGACCGGAAGCCGGAAACCGTTCGGAGAAATAAAGATGGGCACTATTTCTCCGAACGTTCGGAGAAATAGTCACTTCGAAAAAAAAAAAACCAACAAAACAAAAACAAAAAAGACAACAACCAAACACGTAACACGGCGAGATCTCGTCAACAGTCTGACAACAGTTATTGGCGAGGGAAACTCAAGCGGAGTGTCTACGTACACGGTAACCGGGCACCTAGTCTCAATATCTACGTACTCGGTAACCGGGCACCTAGTCTCAGTATCTACGTACACGGTAACCGGAATGAAAATTAATCAATATTTTTCCTGTGCTATCACTTGCTGAGAAAAAAAGAAAGTCACTAAGCGTCTTGTCGGGCTCACCATCGTGACTGGTCAGTGAACCTGTGCGGGCGCATCACATTGTCATTGTGAGTGCCGGTTGGGGTCACCAAAGTTCTTTCAAAGTCTGTGCGCTCCGGAATGGGGGGATTATTGTTTTTTTTTAAAGGTACAGTCGGGGGAGGGGTGGGGATGAAGGCTACACCGGATGACATCTACGTCTACTCGCAACTCAGTGAATCGATTCAGGAGTCAGGAGTACTATAGATATTTAGTGCGGTGGATGCGATCACGACTACTCGCAACTCAGTGAATCGATTCAGGAGTTGATACCATATATATGGTCATGGTGCGGTGGCAACTCAGTGAATCGATTCAGAGTTGTTCCTATATAATATATATAGGCCTATAGCTTCTACTCAGTTCATAGGTCATTGATTGTGCTATGAATAGATGGGAGTCTCTAAGCCTGTGATAGGTAGGCTAGTCTGTCGTTCAGCCATTGAGATGCTGCGTGATTGAAAGGGGGTGGGGGCTAAGGGGTGTCGGTCTGTCTACAGGGGATGGGTGAGGGCAGGGTGTGCACTCGGTAACGGCGCGAGTGACGAGCGGTGGGGGTAATGTATTAATTTGTGAATGGGAAAACACAGGAAGTGTTGCCAGTTAATGGGGCCAACACGCTGTGAAGTACTACATGTTGTGAGCCGTGAGCGGAGACAGCAAACTGTTGGGGTGGCTATTTCTAACCCCTGCTGTCGGTAGCGCTAGTTTTCAATCAAGGCTAACACGATCGGGCTGTAGTGGCTCATGTGATTAGGGCTGCTCATACTAAATCTAGATCTAGACTATGATTGGTTTTGGACTTTAGAGTGTGTTGATACATGGCCTGCCAATGCATTTGTTGTTCGCTCGACTTTCCTAATTTCTTTACTTTCTTCTGTTTATATGTGTGAGGGGGGGAGGGGCGAGAGAGAGAGGCTTCTTTTTAAAAGGTGGAGGGGAAAAAAAGTTGAAAGAAAGAAGGAACAGCAACACTGTCGGCCTTTGGCGCGAAACAGTATGTGACGTCACTGAGGTCACACGGTGCTGACGTCACAGGGTGCAAGCCTCAAGCCTACTCGCAACTCACTTGGAGCGAGGAGTTAGTGCTCGCAATTCACCTAAAATTTGAAGAAAACCCAGCACTACCAGTTACAGTGTACGTAGATATTGAGGCTACATGCCCGATTACCGTGTACATGACACTGAGACTACGTGCCCGGTTACCGGTTACCGTGTACGTAGACACTGAGGCTAGGTGCCCGGTTATTGTGTATGTAGACACTCCGAAACTATATATAACATGGTTATTTTATTCTAGATCTACCATTTTAGCCTATTTAGATTGAAAACTGAGGATAAAATCCTGTTTTTCTCCCAACAATTACTATACTTACCCTACTATCCTGCAATCCTACCCTTACCCATTTTATAATCCTAACCATAACCACTTAACCCGTGTAAAGTTACTATTAATATCACACTACTTGATTATACCTTTGTGATAACTCTTCGGGTCAAAACAGGAGATTTCAAAAAATTGTATCGCCCCTGTGATAACTTGGATGAACAAAAAATTAATTGATATTGCATGATGATGACAATAGAGGTCTCTTGGTAGGCTGTACGAAGCATTTAGGTTGACAACGGTCACATGAAAGTAAGTGATGTGGAAATTGCATTTTCAAGAAAAATGAAAGATCTTGGCATTTTTTTTAAAAATTCATAAAGTTTGTCAATGTCTGCTTGGGTAACTCATCTGATCAGCTGCATATGTATTTAGAGATAGAAAGATCAATAAAATACATCCTCTGATTATGTCTGTAGTTGAGGTTATATTGAAATTCTTGGAAATTATGTTCAGTCGTGGCTTTTGGCTGAAATTATTATTTTTGTCTTTGATTCTTTCTGTTTCAGATTAGTATCAAGCATTTATAACTTTTGTGAAATGGGGGAACAAGTTAAACTTCAAGTTCATCATGTGAGATTCTTCAACTGTCAGCCACAGACAATCAACTGTATTTGCCATGACTCCACTTCACAAAGAGTGGCTGTCTCGAGGTAAGTCTGAGCTCGCAACTCAATTGTTTTGGGTTGGGTTTTTTTACATAATGGTGATACTTATGATTTTGTGTGCTTTAGTTTTAAGGTGTAGCAGTGGATACTCTCATGACTTGACAGTGAGCATTAAGTAAATATTTGTCAAAAGATTTTTAAAAGCCCTCAGTTTCTGTGGAGATAATTTAGATCTGAAAAAAAGTTTTTGGTGCTGGTGAAATTAGTGACCATCTACAGATCGGCCGCTCACCATTGCTGGTTAGTTTAACTACTGTACAGCATCAATGCAATCCAATTGTTAGGTTTGTGTTTGTCGATTGCAAGTGCATGGTATAGGATAGGGCTGGACTAATTTAGTAAGAATAGTCGAGCTGTGTAGTGTTTTTGTATTTTACTCTCAAATAGATTATAATTTATTATAAATGACCGTTTCATTAATTTCAAATAAATTTTTTCACAGCTTTAGTGATTTTTTTCTAGCCTAAATTCAAAGTGCACTTAGTGATGCTGACTGGGATGTGGTTTGCAATTATGGAAATTTAGAAGTGTTGAATAATGTTTTTATATAATGATTATCAAATTTTACTACTTATTAATCCAATAATTTGACTAATTTGGAGTGTATTAGTAATCTTTACAAAGGAGTTTTTACATATTGCAGTCTATTTTCTAAAATCATGTCTCATGAGAATAAGCTGCTTTCACTTTATCGATGATGTATGCCATACCATATGTTAATTGTCCAGTCTGGTACAGTCATCTGAAAGAAATCATCACAGTTGCTAGTAGGTTTTCAGCTCTCTAAGGGTCAAGTATTTCTCCTTCTGCAGGTCTGACGGGTCTGTGGAGATTCTGGGGACCCAAGACAACTGGATCCAAGAACTGGTAAATTGTATTTGTTGTTCTGTGTGACATTGGGGTTTTTTGTTTTTTTTGGGGGGGTTTTCCTTATATCCAGAATGCAACATTAAAAATGTCATTAAAAAGAAGTCATTAGGGATACTGTATTAACGCTTACAGTAACAAAGGCTCATATTAGTGAAAACCCTCAAGCACCGCACCAGTTTAGAACGCTGAAGCCGTGGTAGAATTTTTTAAAATAAAAAACCTCCCAGCCCAAGAAACATGCTTTAAAAATTCGTAGATATACTTTAACTTTAACTATTCAGCTATCATACAGAGTGACTTCTTGTGGTATTTACTTCAGTGCAAGGTGTTCGTTTGTTGTTTAATTATGTTCAGTGTTCCATGTTGGTTTTTCGATTACTGTGAGTGTCGTGTACAAAAATGCTCTTTCGTGAAGGTAATGCCTTTGTGTTTTATGAAGTCTTGTTGTATCGCGAGGAAATAAAGCAAAGGATACAAAGCGAATGTGTCGTGCTGCATTTTGCGATTGTTAGTTTGGCTAATTGTTTCAGAAATGTGATAATTAGAAAAATGTGTTTTTTTACAGAAACAGGCCTCGAGCGACTAAAGATTGAGAGTTAAACTATGCTGTTTTTTTCCAGACATATGGTACTAGAGCTTGCATACATCTGATTTATGTACGTCCTCTTTTTGTGTGTGTGGTGTGTGTTTTTGGTAAGCGTATTTTCATTCATAATTTCACCCTTTTTCTTTTTTTTCCTTCAGGTGTTACCAGGTAGCAGTGATGCGTCAGTGGAAGCTTTGGCGTGGGCTCAGGGCCGCTTGTTTGCTGCGGGGCTAGGCGGAAATATTGTGGAGCTGGACATGGTCACTCAGTCTGCTAAGGTAAGAACAAAATGGCTTTTTCGTGGCTCTCAATATTCCACTGTTTAGTGGATTTCCTCTACCGCCATTTCCTCCGCTAAACTGTTGAGAAACAGTCACCGGCAAAGAGATTTGCTGGGTGGGGGGGGGGGGCACATCCCAGTAATGCGCCACCACTTTCTGTACATAATCAAGATTGTAAATGTTTGGTGAGTGACTCTTTTACTTGAAATTATCTTCCAAACCCTCAAATTGGTATGAAATAACCTTGCTTTGATAACTTGATGGTTTTTTATTTCATCACTCTAGGGTAAAACAGTATATATCTAATAATAATAGGTGTCTCACGAAAATGGTCTTCCTACGCGATCACGCGTGTGTCTGTGCTTCACGCCGGTCTTCTAGTCACAGCACAGTTAGATCATGGTCAGTCAAGTGGACAGTCACCGAAAATTGTATACAATACATATAAATATTTGCATGTGTCTATAATTTTTTTTTTAGCCTAGTTTTCTCATGATCTCTATCCTCAGGAGACAGTGTCGTCCAATGCTGGACCAGTCTGGTGTCTGACCACTAACGCTGCTCAAGATCAGCTGGCAGTGAGTAGATTTAGTGTCTGTTTTTCTAAAGCTCTCCCCTATTTGATTATCACTACCAGGAAAATAGTGTGGCACAACAAAACATTACCATCGTAAGGATGTTGAGGCAACAGTTGTAGAAAAAAGTTATTCTTTTCCAATGGGATAATTAATGTAAGGTTTATCATCTAGACTGTTCACGTTGGGTGGTTGGCGGGTGCTCTGGTGTGGTTTGCTCCGGTCAGCGTCTGTGTGGTCAATTATTTGTCTCTGTGGCTGGCAGTGGTGCTAGCCCTGTCAGGTCATCGTCTGCCTCATTCACCGTGGTGTCAGGTCACCGTCTGCCTGGTTCCTTGTTCACCGTGGTGTCAGGTCACCGTCTGCCTGGTTCCTCGTTCACAGTGGTGTCAGGTCACCGTCTGCCTGGTTCCTCGTTCACCGTGGTGTCAGGTCACCGTCTGCCTGGTTCCTCGTTCACCGTGGTGTCAGGTCACCGTCTGCCTGGTTCCTCATTCACCGTGGTGTCAGGTCATGGTCTGCTCCATTTACCGTGGTGTTTGGGGCAGACCACAGAGAAGTGCTCACCTCCTGTGTCTGTGCTGGGCGAACATCTCTACCTCCAGTCCAGGCAGCTGTGCCCCACACGTCTGAGGTCTTCCTCTAGATCTCGTTCCCGCTTGGATCTCAGCCTCCCCCTCCCCCTCTGTGGATTCCGTCTCAAGCTTTGTCTTGTCACATTGTGAACTGGCTTTCTGAGCGTGTGCCCAATCCACATTTTCTGTCAAATACAATACTTTTCTGTTATCAGCACCACGTCTTTTTCTTCCACTGTGACCTGGCTGTTTATGAACTTGATGAACAAAGAAAAGTTGGCATCAGTTCCTGAATGTTGCTTGTCTTTCCTACGCACTGTCCTCTTAGCCTATGGTACCCTGTCAAAAGTAAAAAATATCTCAAAGTTTACTTTGCATGTGGGTGGTTGGCGGGTGCTCTGGTGTGGTTTGCTTCTTTTTTCCTATCCAACATCTATCGTCCTTATCTCCCCGTCTTCTTTTTTATGTTTGTTAGATCAACTTTCTTGTAACACCTCTATTCTTCTGGCGCTCATATGACCTTATACAGTTGCGAGCTTCTTTGATCCCTTCCTAGACTGGATTCTTCACCCTGCAGTAGAACCGAGGTTCCCATACGTGACTTATCTTTCTAGCGAACCTTACAGTGTCCCTTCTGTGTCAGGCTATCCTATTATGGGTAGTTGGCGGGTGTTCTGGTGGGGTTTGCTCCTTCTTTCCTATCAAACATCTTTTGTCCTGATCTACCCTCCTCCTTTTTTTGTGTGTGTTTGTTACTCTGTTGTAACACCTCTATTCTTTTGCACTTATATGATCCTATTGTGTTGCAAGTGCCGTAAAACTCATACAGTGGGTAGTTGGTGGGTGCTCTGGTGTGGTTTGCTTCTTCTTTCCTATCGAACATCTATCGTCATTATCTCCCCTTCTTCTTTTTTATGTTTGTTACTCTCTTGTAACACCTCTAATCTTCTGGCGCTCATATGACCTTATGCAGTTGCGAGCGCTGTAAAACCTCTACTAAAACTAAAACTAAAAACTCATACTGAAACTAATCAGGCAATATCCTATGCTGCTGTTAAGTAGGATAAAAGCAGGCCAAAAAGTAAAACCTCTACTAACTACTAAAAAGAAAAAGAACAATTTTCTGTAATCCCCCATTGTGTCTCCTCTCACTCAGGCAGGAACTGAGGACGGCTGTGTGGTCCTGTTTGACGTCTCGGGAGAACTGCAGTATCTGCGAGGCTTTGGGAAGCAGGAGGGTAAGTTGCTGTGACAGGAAGAAGTTGTGTACGGAGTACAGATGGGCAGGTACTGGAACTCCCGGTTCTGTGGAAGGAAGTGTCAGTACCGGCTCTGGGAAGGAGCAAACACCAACCTTTTTTTTTCAGAGCCACGGGAAGTGTTTAAGCCTAGGCCTAGCAGCTGTGAAGTCAGATGCACAACGCAGCGGGTGACCTTGATACATGACTTCAGATTCAAAACTGACAATCAAAAACGAAGTTTGCTTAAATTTAAATGTGGCATCAAATCAGGTTCCACGTGAGCCACTTTGCTTCTTTTTTATATGCAGATTCCGAAAATGAAATCAATTTTTAGCGGCGATAATTATTTAAAGAATTCTGTATGCAAAGTTGAATCCTGCGCGGCGGCAAACTTCAAAGGTATTTTGCGTCACAGTTCGCCTCTCCAATTTTGCCTTGTGGTGTGTGAGTGTGTGTGCTTTTGTACTGCTGTGACTGTGTGCAAGAGGTGTCGGTGGGAGGTTGGAGGGTGCTCTGGTGTGGTTTACTCCTTCTTTACTATCAAACAACTATCGTCTTTACCTCCCCTCGTTTTTTGTATTTGTTACTCCCTTGTAACACCTCTAATCTTTGGCACTTATATGCCCTTATTGTTGCAAGTGCCGTACCTAAAACTCTTACGACCCCCCCTCCCCAAAAAAAAAATTTAGTCTGTCTTTTTTGCCACTGGAATAAGCGAGCAGATAAATATAATATGTACATTTCATGTTTTAAAATACATTTAGCACTCTGTGAAATTGAGCGCTACAAATGCACTCTATTGTCATTTTCACTTCGTCGTAGAGAGGCTCTACGGGTCTACAGATGAACTGAGCAGGACAGCCCAATTTATGATATATACCGTACTTCAAGTGTGATACGAATGAGAAGATGAAGACTTCTTCGTTTGAATGTTTTTGTCTTGTGTTTTGTTCAGGGAGGATTCTCTCCATCGCCTGGTACGAGACGGAGGTGGAGAGCATGATCGTGACCGGGGGCGTCAACAACATCCGTCAGTGGAGCGTCAAGTCGGGCCAGCCCCTCAGTCGCATGACCTTCGGCCGCAAGTTCCAGAAAGACACAATTGTCTGGTGTGTCGCTGTCACGCAGTAAGTTTTCTACTCTCCAACTTGGACTAAAGGCCACCTATATGAGACAGTCACCTGTACTAAGGGCTGCCTGTAGAAGACAATCATCTGTACAAACTGCCACCTGTATATGACAATCACCTGTACAAACTACCACCTGTATAAGACAATCACCTGCACAAACGGTCACTTCCCGTGGATTGAAATATTGCATCAACTGAGGCCCTGAAATATTTATAGTCATTTACAAACATGTTGTAGACCTTATTGTGTTGGGTTTTTTTCTCTCTCAGACAGAAATGTAGACTGTGAGACACAGAAAGTAATGTGTGTAGTGCAGATGCTCTTTGTGGAATGTTATCAGTGGCTGCAAGAAGGAATAATGGGAGGTCTAGTCAGTATGCACTGCTACCTTGTGACAAAGGATTTATTTGTCTCTGTGATTTGTATATAATAATAAGTAGCATTTGTATAGCGCATATCCCCACTCGAAAGCAAGCTCCATATGCTTTACACTATATTATTACCTCAGCAGACCATAGAACACTCAGAAACATTCTCAGTTTCCTGGGAAGCATACAGTGCAAGCAGCTGGTTAAATGCTCAAACACTAACAAGCTGGGTACCCATTTTCACCTGGGTGAAGTGGGGAAAATTCGTGTAAAGCGCCTTTCCCAAGGACACAATGTCAGGCCTGCGGCTCGAACCCCCGAACCCGCCTCTTCACGATTACGAGTCCGGTAGCCTAACCACTAGGCCACAGTAACGGTTTGTCTGAAGGAGGCATTGTCTTCAGTGTTTTCTTTTATTGCCACATAACATTCTAAGCTTATCTGGCTGCATTTTTTAGTTGTCTTTTTCACAGATTTGACAATAAGCTTGTTTTTAAGAATTGTTTTGTTTGTTTTTGTCTTCAGATATCTTGATAGGCCATTTAATTTCCTTCAAATAATATTTTTCAAATAAATCTTCTAGTGTGTACAGTCAGTAGTTGAAAGTTTTCATAAAATGTATTTCTCTTTTGTTGTTGCAGAGACTTCACCATCATAAGTGGAGACTCGCGGGGCATCGTCACCTTCTGGAACGGGAAGGAGTCCACTCAGATCAAGGTGAATCATTTTTCTTTTGCCGTACATTTGCTCGTGGTTGGAGGGCGCCATCTGTAGGTCCTACTTTTTTTTCACCCCTTTGTTGTTGCATTGGTGTTATTCTGTTTTTCACAAATCACAAATCAACAAACAGCTGTGCATGTGAAGACAGTGGTGTGTGCTTTTGATATGTGTTGTAATTATATCCTGTTTGGTTCAGTGGTTGGTTATTTGATCCAGTGGGTGGTTGGCGGGTGCTCTGGTGTGGTTTGCTTCTTCTTTCCTATCAGACATCTATCGTCCTTATCTCCCCTTCTTCTTTTTTATGTTTGTTACTCTCTTGTAACACCTCTAATCTTCTGACGCTCATATGACCTTATGCAGTTGCGAGCGTCGTAAAACCTCTACTAAAACTAAAACTATTTGATCCATGTTGTTGTGTGCATAGATTCTTTTCATGGACCTTGTTGCCCTCTCCTTTTTCTGGAAAACTGCTTTAATAAGAAGCAAAGTTATTTGAATTCGATGTAATCGTCCATTGCTTTTGGGTTGGGTTTTTTCCCGCCCACTCCTTACTTTACAGTGAAACCTCTACTAAAACAAACAAACAATTACTTTACAGTATTTTGGATTGAATGTTTAGATTGCCTGACTTACTCAACTGGGTTTTTTTTTTTTTTTTTTTTTTTCCCCAGACATTCCACTGTCACAAAGCTGATGTTCTGGGCCTGTGCCTCAGTGAGGTAAGTGGTTGTTGGTCACTCAATGTGGCCAGTCTGTGTGGGAGGGGGTTGTGTGTTGGGAATTTTTATTTTTTAGGTTGTGGGAATTTTTTTTTTCTTTTAAATTTTTTCCTTTTTTTGGGTGGTGATTGTTGTTGTTTTTTTTGGGGGGGGGTTTGTAGACTTACGACTTATTACATTTCACTTGTTTTAAGAATTGTCATGCTGCACTTGTTGATTAATTAGAAGTTATGATATTGGTAATTATTTTAATGCTGACATAGACCCAAAACCAGTTGTCTTTTTACACTCTTGAAACCTTGGAGATGAAAGGGCGTGTCAAAACTGGATGACATGAAATGTGGTAACGTTTGACATTCCTCGAAATCCCATATGATGTCATTGGGTTCGCTTTAGTAGTTGAATATATCTCATAGAAACGACACTTGCATTCATTTAAACTTATTATTCTCATGCTTCTGTTCCCAAATTCCCACATGTGCAAATGCCACAAATGTGTCACGGCGCGGTGGAAACGGACGCTCGTCAATTTCTGGGCATGTGGAGTTATTGGTATCATCTGAAAGCTGATTTATTTGCCTTGATTTCAATGAAATAAATATCCATTTATATTTAAATAGAATTCAAGATATTTGCGATTGAAGAAAGTGAGGTCGTCTGATTTCAGTGGTGAAATTATAGAGAAAATGGCTGCCAAAGTTTGGTATACCAATAGCTAAAGATTCTTTGAAGACTGAAAAATGACATAATTTGTGCCTTTTATCAATGATTCTCTCGTAAAATTCACTTGGAAAAGTGTTTTTATACGGACCGAAAAGAGGTTAAGCCAAAAAAATAAAAACTCGATAAATATTTCCAAACTGGCGTAAAAGTAAGTTTCCTCAATTTAGTTATTTTGACGGGCGCCTGATTTCACCGCGCACTTTCACACATGTCCTCCCCTCAAAAGCACAAAAACAATTATTTGTCTCTTCCCCCCCCCCCCCCCCCCCCCCCCCCCCACACACACACACACACATGACAGGATGAGCAGACGGTGTACAGTAGCGGTGTGGACGCGGCACTCTACCAGTTCTCCCTCTACCTGGCCGACCCCGCCTCAGAGCGCAAGCGCTGGGTGCAACAGTTGCTCCACAGTCGACACACGCACGACGTGCGCGCCTTGGCATACAGGGACGGCTGTGTGGCGTCTGGGGGTGAGTCAAATCGCTTTGCGTAGAAACATCAGGCCTGGGCTTGGGGGGGGGGGGGGGTCGCGCCTCTTTGTGTAGAGATATAAGACCTAGGCTTGTGGGGGTGAGTCGCGTCGCTTTACGTAGAGACATAAGACCTAGGCTTCTGGGGGTGAGTCGCGTCGCTTTACGTAGGAACATAAGGCCTGGGCGTCTCGGGGTGAGTCGTGCTTCTTTGAGTGGAGACATAAGACCTAGGCTTCTGGGGGTGTCTTTATGTAGTGACATAAGACCTAGGCTTGTGGGGATGAGTCGCATCGCTTTACGTAGGAACATGACACCTTGGCTTCTGGGGGTGAGTCGCGCTGCTTTACGTAGGAACATAAGACCTTGGCTTGTGGGGGTCAGTCGCACCGCTTACCGTAGTGACATAAGACCTAGGCTTCTGGGGGTGAGATGCGTCGCTTTATTTAGGAACATAAGACTTAGGCTTCTGATCTGTAACAAAGAAAGATACAGAAGGTCATTTTTAACGTCATCCATAAAAATTCTTCCATCTTATTGTTTATATTACTGTTAATTTATATTATGCATGTGACTGTAAGCCTGCGTGTGTGTGAGAGTGTGTGTGTATGTGTATACATGGTGAAACACCAAACCAGTGTGCCAGGATCTGGACAATAAAGATGCATCTAATCTTATCTTATGCAAGTGTTAACTTTTCTTTTTTATCACTTAACCCTTTCGGTCTCATTTCCAGTGATCATCAACTTAACTCTTTACACCCTGAGTTTTTTCCACCATTTCCCGGAGTTTTCTCTATAGCCACCTAAACCGGGTGCACTATGTCTCATTATACTTCCTTTCTTTCTGGGTCTGCCGTACTCTAAACCGATGTTGTCTTGTCAATGAAGTCAATGTGCTTTTTAGTCAAACTGAAACTGAAAAATACACAAACATGTTCTGATCTCCCCTCCTTCTATTTTGTGTTTGTTACTCTCTTGTAACACCTCTAATCTTCGGCACTTATATCACCTTATTGTGTTGCAAGTGCCGTAAAACTCTTACTCAAACTAAACGTTGAGTTTGTGTGAAGCTCAGTTCTTGTCCTCTTTGTTTGTTGCAGGTGTGGATGCGGTGCTGCAAGTTGCCAAACTGAAGGGGAAGCGCTCGGTGTGGGATGTGGATCCTTTCCCTGCGGTGAGAACCTGAGAATACCTTTCGGGATTTGTATGGAGACCAAAATGTTTCATTGTGTCATAAAGGGAATTAAGCGTGAAGTAGAAATATACATGTTAATTTCATTTGTTTTTTGTCTGGTTTAATTTTGGTAAAGAAAAGTAGATCAACACAATAGCTGCCATTTGGTGCAAGAGAAAAGTTACAACCAATGGGCCGAATGAAATGACAGAGAGAGTGAAGAAATACTAGCAGCATCCTTCAAATCCCTTATGAATTTCTATGACTTGAAAGATTCTTTAGCAATAACCTTGCTGTTTATTTCTCTCCTATTGTTACTTCTTCAACAGAACTTCATTGTTTATAGCTCTTTATGTGTTGCTAAACTTTGACAATTGTCCGTCGTTGTGGGTGGTTGGAATCCCCTCCACTGCTAGCTTTTTTTTTTCTTTCCTCATGTCCATCTTTCTCTGTCCCTGCTCTGAATGACTGTTATCGTGTTGAGATGACATTCTGGTTCTTTTCACTCAAACAAACTGAAATAAACAATAGGAGTGGTTGGCGGATGCTCTGGAGTGGTTTGCTCATTCTTTCCTGTCAACGAACAACTATCGTCCTTATCTCTCCTCCCTCTTTTTTGTGTAAGTTACTCGCTTGTAACACATCTATTCTTCGGCACTTACGAGAGGGTATCAATAAGATTTTTACCTAAGTGTGAAGGAGTGGAGCTACGAACTTGAAATGTGAACAGGTTCAAGATACATCTAGACTAAGAATGCACACCAACAATTAGGAATTTCCAATGATTTGTTCAGGTTGTACAGCAGATAGTTTAACATCACTCTTGAAAGCATGATTTTAGCACTTTTCATTCTTACTCACAAAATGGAAAAAATTGAAATGAGAGCTGTGATGAAGTTCCTTCATCTCCAAGAAAAAAAACCACGGTCTGTACACGATGAAATGTCAATACATGTGTATGGAGATATCTGCCCAAGCTATGATGTGATCAAATATTGGTGCAAGGAATTCAAATGTGGTAACATGTCCATTGAAGACCACCCTTGAGAAGGTGGCTCTGTCTCAGCGGAGACTGAAGACAATGTTTCAAAAGTCAAGAAGATTGTGCTGAATGACAGGCGCGTTACTCTCAGACAACTTTGTGCTGAATTTGGCTTGAGCTATGGATCTTTTGAAACAATTCTGCACGACCATTTGATTATGTGAGTGTCTGCAAGATGGGTGCCCCGTCTCCTTACCCCTCATCAAAAAGAGCAGAGAGGACAGTACAGTCAGCCAATGATTGACATGTTTGATGAAGATCCTGACAACTTTTTTTACCGTTTAGTAACAATGGATGAAAGTTGGGTATCACTTCGACCCAGAGTCAAAATCTGCTTCAGTGCAATGGAAAACACCATCTTCCCCCACCCCCAAAAAAGCCAAAGTGCAGAATTCATCTGGCAAAGTGATCTTTTTTTTCTGAATGACTTTTCAAGATCATTCATTGCTGGCAAAAATGTGTTCTTGCAGCTGGTGACTACATAGAGAAATAAATGTATACATACAAATTTCAAGTTTGTAACTCCATTCTTTCATACTCAGGTAAAAAACTTATTGATATCCCCTCGTATATGACCTTATTGTGTTGCAAATGCCGTAAAGCTCTTACTAAAACGTAACTAAACAGTTGTTTTTCCGTACGTTGCCTCCCTCGTAGACGGGCCTGGTGAACGTGGCCTCCGACAAGAACCTGGTACAGCTGCAGTACCCGACCTATGTGGAGGTGTGGCGGCTGGGGGCGGCCAATCAGCCGGAGGGTGAGTCTTTGCAGCATTTTGTTTATGCTAGAGGTTCCACTCAGGGGAGGCTGCTGACTTTTTTCATAAGTTTGATCTTTTGCCTCTAACATTGTTATTGACACAGGTTTCTAATGATTTTTGCCACCCAGCCTGATTTGAGGGTGGGTGGTTGGCGGGTGCTCTGGTGTGGTTTGCTTCTTATTTCCCCATGAAACATCTATCGTCCTTATGTTCCCCTCCTTCTAGTTTGTGTTTGTTACTCTCTTGTAACACCTCTACTCTTCGGCACTTATATGAGGAGGGAAGTCTGAAGCAAGCGTGACATGGCAAAAGTAGCCATGTTTTTTAAAGTCAGACGAATCATTGAAACTTAGTGTGATGTGTCCATGGTGTACTCTAAAAGAAGGATAACATTTTACTTGATGATTCTCATGTTTTCAAAATGAATAGTTGACCTACTCTCTTTTTTTTAAACATTCAATCGCTTTCATTCAATTTTTTTTTTTTTTTTTGTTTTTTTTTTTTTGTTTTGTTTGTAGTTCTTCATTGTGAGTTGTGATGATATTGATGATCATTTAAAGAAAATAACACGGTGTTGGACCTTCCATAAATTAATACCTGGATACCTGGAGGTGTGATCTCTAACTCAGAGGTTGAAGTGTAATGACCCTCCATAGTATTGTATTTTTCTAAATTTTATTTTATTCAGCAGGGTCTGTCTTGTGTGTAGAATCTGACACACCTCACATTGTTTGTCTTTTTTTGTTTTCCAACTTATTCTGGCCATTCTACGATAGCACCACATCTCAAACGCATTTATTTGGTTTTCTTCTTTCCTCGTCAAAGTCCAAGTCTCTGCACCATATAGGAATGTAGGGAAGAAGATGTAGCATTCCAGCATTTTCTTTCTTAAAGGTAGAGCTAGTTGATTGGATTTAAATAGCTTGTGCATTTGGCTGAATCTTGAAATCGTCATGACTTAATGGTACACATTCATTGTCTCTCCCCCCCCCCCCACACACACACACATACACACACACACGCACACTCAAACACACACCCACACACACTCACCCACTCGCACTCACACTCACACCTACACACACAGAGGAAGCGCGGGGTATCCTCCCCCTCACCAAGAAGCCTGTGCGTCTGCTGCAACTGAAGGCGCGCTCCGACCGACGCGTTCTGTGTAGTGCCGTGTCGCCCGCCGCGCTTGTGGCCTTCTCCGACACAAAGGGAGTCCGGCTGTTTCAGCTGAACTTGGTGAGTGTCTTCTGTGTGGTGTCCGAGAGTAGCGGGATGTTGCTTTTCTTCTTTGTTTTGTTTTTTTTGTTTGACGCATGCTTCTGTTTTTCCCACACACCCTGGGGCAATGCTACTGACTGAAGTGTCTTTAAGCCATTCCTAAAGGGGGGGATATTAACATGTTCTTATGCTCAATAGAATTGTAAATGGGCTGATTCATCAATGTCATTCTCACACTGTGCTGGAACAATATAGGGGGGAACTGCTGCTTTTTCTGTCCTCATCCTTACTATCGTTATTTGTTTCCTCTACTTCTTTTGTATGTTTGTCACTCTCTTGTGACCCGCTATTTCCGGGGTGCCTTGATAGTCGAAACAGACTTTGTGCTGTTGAGGCTAGAGAGGTGAGCAGAGTAAGCCTGATTCCCTGTAAGGACTTCTCTGTTGACATCCACCCGTTGGCGCTCATATGACCTTATGCAGTTGCGAGCGCCGTAAAAACTCTACTAAAACTAAACAACTGTTTTTTCTCTAGAGTATGAGCAAAGGGACGTTTCTTTTTATACTTTGTTTTTATGTTTGACGCATGCAATGGGACGTTTCTTTTTGTATGTTTTTATATTTGACGCATTTTATGGGACGTTTATTTTTGTATGAAGTATTTATTTTTGACACACCCACTTCTGTGTTTCCTGAGAGATTGAACGGTGAATCATTTCAAATTTTTTTAGATGATTTGTTCAATAAAATGTCTTGTTTGTTTTTTTGTTGTTTTTTTTGCTACGACTTAGGGGGGGGGGGTCTTTTTTTTTCATTCGCTGCAAGACATGTAGTATAATGTGTAGGTGTATCAAAAAGAGCAGTGTCAGATATCACGTGAGAATTCTCCTCTTTATTCTGACGTTTGAACTATCCCCCGTCAGAAAAATGATGACTCGAGTGTGCCGGATGTGTCCTTGACCCGTGTACCTTGCGGTCTGCTGGAGCCTGCTCGCCTGATGACCTTCACCTCCAGTGGGCAGGCTCTGGTTGCGGTGTCCACGTCTGGGAGTCTACAGGTCGTGGATGTCAGTACAGGGCGCGTGAAGCACACTGTTAAGTCTGTCTCAGGTCAGTTTTCTCTGTGTGTGTGTGTGTGTGTGTGAGGCAGTGTGGATGGATTTCAGTTCAGGGCGTGTGGAGCACACTGTTAAGTCTGTCTCAGGTCAGTTTTCTCTGTGTGTGTGTGTGTATATATATATATATTATGTGTGTGTGTGAATATATATATATATATATGAGGCAGCGTGGATGTCAGTACAGGGCGCATGGAGCACACTGTTAAATCTGTCTCAGATCTGTTTTCTCTGTGTGTTGTGTGTGTGTGTGTATGTGTATATGTGTGAGGCAGTGTGGGTGGATGTCGGTACAGGGCGTGTGGAGCACACTGTTAAATCTGTCTTAGGTCTGTTTTCTCTGTGTGTGTGTGTGTGTATAATATGTGAGGCAGCGTGGGTGGATTTCAGTACAGGATGTATATACAAGGAGCCCACTGAAAAAACAGGGTTAATCACAAACAGGAAATTGTGAGGGTGTGAATTTTAAAAGCTTGTGGTTTATTTTGTGTGTTTGTTGGATGGGAAATCTAACAACAACAATAATCAACCAACAGCTGAACAGAAATAGTTATGAGTCAACAAGTGTTCAAAATTCACACTTTCACGATTTTCAGGTTGTGACTATGCCCATTTTTTCAATGGACTCCTCATATATGTGTGTGTGTGTGTGTGTGTGTGTGTGTGTGTGTGTGTGTGAGTAAAGCAGCGTGATGAAATCAGTCGCTCGTCAAAATATTGAAAGTCAAGAAACTGGCATTTTTCCGCAAGGTTTGGAATTTTTTTTCGAATTTTACTGATTTCCTGATCCATAGAGTTTATTTCCTTGGTCAATCCCCCGTGGGCTGTTTTAGGTTTAACTTTATGTCTTGTGGAGAAGATGCAAGGCGACTTTGAAGTACTTTGTTTTATGGTAAAAAAATGCATCCTATGCACAGTGATGTGCGATATTAGTTTATTACATCCCAGCTTTTTTGTAGGATCTTTATTTTACTTGTTCTTCTCCTCCTTCTCCTCCTCCTTCTCCTCATCCTCCTCCTCCTCCTCCTCCTCCTCTAAGCTGTTCAAGTCACAATGTATCTAATTTTGTATATTGTTTCCTCTGGGACCAAAGTGTCTCTTGTCTTTCATGCTGTGTTTTTACTTTTTTTTAATACTCTTATGACCATTAAGATGAGTAATGACTTTTATCTAAATTTGAATTGGAATCAGTTCGGAGGTTGTAGCGATAGTGAGCTGAGGCAAGCTGTGCCGTTAAACACTTACCTAAAAAAAACTGACTCTGTCTCCCCATCTGTTGTAAACAGCGTCACCGATCCACCGACTGAGCGCCAGTCCCAACGGGTCGCACTTTGCCACAGCTACGACAGATCACGGCATCCATGTGTACAGCGCGGCTACGGGGCAGGTGAGTTTTCTTCTCCTTTTGTTTTTTGTCACTTCTCTGACAACATTTTGGTTTGTTTTGCATTTTTTAACCCTTCCAGCCCTATGCGCGTATATTTTCAGTAGCGCTTGTACCCCCACTACCCCAAAAGTGTATACACAAGCTTAATTAAACTTTAATTTTCATAATATTTGTTCGTTTACCTTTAAACCTTGTTATATGTTTTTATCTAAACCTCATTACAAAGATACTACATCACTTTTTAGAATGCATGCTTCTTTTTTTTCTGAAATACTGCTGTATTGGCTGGGACTGGGGTAAGGGAGTGCACAAAAATGGCTGGGGTTGGAAGGGTTAAACTGATGTGGAAAGGAGGGGGTGTGCACAAGACAATATTTACGGAAGCCTATTGGATTGACTGTCAAAGTTCAGGGGTTGACAAAAAATTTCACTCTGAGCCCTGGTAATAGCACCTCTAACGTTTGGCTCTTATATGACCTGTTTGTGTTACAACGGCTGTAAAACTCTCACATACACTAAACTAAGCCACGTTGTGACACCTGTGTTTGTCTCTCCTCCCCAGCACGTGTGCTCGTGTCCGGTCCAGAAGTCTCAGGTCAGTGCCCTGGCCTTCTCACCTCACAGCCCCAGCCTGGTCATCGCCTACAGCAACCACTCGGTAGGTTGGTCAGTTGTGGTTTGTTTGTACTTTTGTTTTTGCCTCATTGTCACCTGTCCGTCCACCATCCATCTGTGTCTTGTGTCTCTGCCTCGTTATCACTTCCTCCCCCCCCCCCCCCCCCCCCATCATGTTTGTGTTTGTTGAGTTTTGTACTCGTGTGAGAGGGATTATTGGACGAGGGGAGGGTGGGCAGAGCTGGGTGTTTGTTGGTAAGATGATAATTGTTATCATCCTTTCTTGCCTCGTTCATAGATAGCCACTTTTAAGGACAAGCAGGCTAACCCAGGTTTCGGGGGTTTCCAGAAATCTTGACCTACACCAAAAGTGGGCATTGCCCTACCTATAGGAGAAGTTTGGTTTCATTGGTGTGTATATTTGTTTGGACATAGAGAAAACTCTCCTTGTCTTTTAAAGAACCTGAACATGGGGCAAAAACTTTACGGTCTATTTTCTCAAAACAGCATCTTCGGGATAGCCCCTTTGTGCTTACAACCAAATGTGGTTTGGTCCTTCTTTCCTATCAAACATCTATCATCCTGATCTCTCCCCTCCTTCTTAATTGTGTTTGCTACTCTCTTGTAACACCTCTAATCTTCAGCACTTATATGACCATAATGTATTGCTAATGTCGTAAAACTCTTACTTTAAAAAAGGGAGATAGGACAAGAAAGCACTGAGGTCACGACCTGTTGACTTCTTTCTCCTTCGTCTCCTCCTCCCCAGATCTACGAGTTTGACAAAACGTTTTCGATTTGAGAGCCATTCATTTTAATTTATCCATTTTTCCCGAAGCCGCTACGATTTGATGACTCACAAGTTCCCTCCTCGTTCTCCTCCTCCCCCTCCCCTCTTCCTCTTCTTCCCCAGATCTACGAGTTTGACGTGGACCAGCGAGAGTACACTCCGTGGAGTCGCGCCAACAGCTCTCTCTTCCAGCAGAACTGGCTACGCCCCATGAGCAGCGTGCGGCAGATCACTTTCTCCCCTCACCGGCCAGACCTCGTCGTCTTCCACACCGACGCCATCCTCTGTGTCCTGGACAAGTCGAAAGTAGGTCACCGGCGCCAGGCTTGTCGTGCTGCCAGTGGATGGCTGACGGGTGCTCTGATGTGGTCTGCTCCTTCTTTCCCATCAAACATCTATCATCTTTATCTGTCCTCTTTCTTTCCCATCAAATATCTATCGTCCTGATCTCTCATTCTTTCCCATCAAACATCTATCGTCCTGATCTCTCCTCTTTCTTTCCCATCAAACATCTATCGTCCTGGTCTCCCCTCCTTCTCTCCCCATCAAACATCTATCATCCTTTTCTCCCTTCCTCCTTTTTTTGTTTTTGGTGTTTGTTATCTTCTTTTAACGCCTCTAATCTTTGATGCTGGTATGACCTTATTGCGTTGCAAGATGGAAAAACTCTCACTAAAATTAAACTAATACTACTCCAAGGAACCAAAATATCTCCCATGTACATGCAGCTAGAAATGTTCACAGCTCCATGACAAATTTCCACACAAAAAAACTAAGTCCTTTTCTTCTCAGCCTTTCAGAGTGAGGGAGTGTTCACAATTCACCTGTACTGGTAGTGCCAATAGCCGTGTGGTGGAACACGAAGTATGCTTCCCTTGGTGAACTAAAGAATCACTTTCAGATTTAACCCTATCCGTACGTCGTGTTTTACTATCGTATCTGTACGGCATGGGGAACTCTGTGCGACCCTCAGCGACTTTTTGGAGAGAGCAACTGAGCATCAATGGACTTGTCCGGAATGCAGAGATGTTGCTTCCTGGAACAATGAACAATGAAATGTTCACACGTGCCAGCTCCACCCCGGTGCGACTAGTTGGACAAGTGTAGACAACTTGTATGGGAGCGCAGGTTTTACCTGATTGTTGCCCTTTGACTTTCCTCACACCTTGTCTGTTCTTTTTAGTTGAAGTTTTAAGGCGCTCACAACTACATATGATCGTATGGGCGCTTTGTCTGTTCTGAAGTGCCTTGCTGTTCAACTGGGGACTTTCTTGGAGTTTTGAGTGTATGAAATGGGCAGCTTGCACTGTATATTTCCTGGGACCCAACAGTCTTTCTCTATATTTTAGGATTTGCTGGGATAATGATGATATAGTGTATAGCACATAGAGCTTGCCTTCAGCCAGGGATATGTGCTATACAAATGTTATTTATTAACCCTATCCGTACGCCCTGTGGTCATTTTGTACTCTGGAGTTGTATCCTTCACATTTTAGAATACTTCTAGTAGGAAGATCTCTTTGAAACTTTCAGAATCATTTTGACAGACTTCTATGCAAAGCGTACGGATCGGATTAATGAGTAAATTTCCTCTTTGGAAAGTGGTGACACAGAGTTCCCCATGTCGTATGGATACAATAGTAGAACACGACATACAGATAGGGTTAATATTATTATTATTCATGTTTCACCTCTGCAGCATACTCGCATGCCCTACTTTTTTTATAATCCACAATTCCTGTGCGCCCCCTAAGACCCACGAAATGTAGTTACTGTTGTTGTGTCAATGATATTGCCCGGGACTCTGTGAATACTTAAACAAGTCCCCCCCCCCCCCCCCCCCCCAACAGATAACAAAACAAAACAGAAGACCCCCCACAAAGCTTTGTACTAAGCCTGTCCTAGCCGGAGGTTTTGTGGTCGGTGGTTGGAGGACACCACCGTCAGGAATTTGTACTTGTTTCTTTTCCCTCTGTTCTTTGTCTGTTTGTCTGTCTGTCTGTCTGTCTATCTTACTTTTGTCCCAGCACTGATTGACTGCGGTTGTGCTTCTCTTTAAACTCTCAAATTCAAGAGAGTGGGTGTGTTGGCGGGTGTTCTAGTGTGGTTTGCTTCTTCTTCCCTATCAAACATCTATCGTCCTTATCTCCCCTTCTTTTTTTTTAATGTTTGTTACTCTCTTTTAACACCTCTAATCTTCTGGCGCTCATATGACCTTATGCAGTAGCGAGCGCCGTAAACCTCTACTAAAACTAAAACTCATGAGATTCTGTTCCTGCCACCGTTTTAAATCGTTAAGAGAAAGGCAAAGGCAGACTGGAGATGAGAGGATTAACCACACACACACTTGCGCGCACACACACACACACACACACACACGTTTGGGGTTGGCAGTTGCTCTGGTGTGGTTTGCTCCTTCTTTCCTATAAAAAAATCTATCGTCTTTATCTCTCCTCCTCCTTTTTTATGTTTGTGGCTCTCTTGTAACACCACTAATCTTCGGCACTTATATGACCTAATTGTGTAGCAAGTTGCGTAAAACACTTACTTAAACTAAAACTAAAAGACTGGAGACGAGAGGGTTACCCACATTCACACACACACCTATACACACTCTCTCACGCACACATACACACTCTCTCTCACATGCACACACACATACACACTCGCACACACACACGCCAACACACTCTCTCTCACGCGCACGCACAGATACACACACTCTCTCTCACACACACATACACACGCACATACCCATACACACATACACACACACTCTCACACACACACATACACACACTCTCTCTCACACAAACACATACACACACTCTCTCTCACACATACACACACTCACACTCACACACACATAAACATGCTCTCTCACACACACGCACGCACAAACACACACACACAAACACACCCGACTCAGGGAGTGTCAGGCTATCCTCTGATTGGCTCATCTTTCACGGAGGACATGCCCGTGCCCCGGCTGTATCTGGCGCCTGCTATCGTCTTACGTGTGTTTTGACAGGTTGCTGTGGTGTGCAGCGAGGTTTTCTGTGTCAGGATGCACCGGGGGGTGGGGGGGGGGGGTGGCTTGTTGTAAACATGGTTCCCCCTCTGACACAGACCGGCTGGGCTTTACTTCCGCCTTGTGACAGATGAGCTGATGTTTTGGTGGGGGGGGGGGGTTGGTAGGTGTGTGTGTGTGTGTTTGGCTCGCTGTGGTGTATTATGATGATGATGCTATGTCCTTGTGTTGCTGGTTGATGATGGAGTTTAACCACACACACACACACACACACACACACACACACACACACACACACACACACACACACCTGGGCAGTGCTACTGACTGAAGTGTCTTTAGGCTATTCCCAAACTCTCTTATGAACCGCTATTTCCAGGGTGCCTTGATAGTCGAAGCAGACTTTGTGCTGTTGAGGCTAGAGAGGTGAGCAGAGTAAGCCTGATTCCCCGTTAGGACTTCTCTGTTGACGTCCACCCCTTGGCGCTCATCATAGGACCTTATGCCGTTGCGAGCGCCGTAAAAACCTTACTAAAACTAAAACGAAAGATGATGGGAGTTTACCCCCTTGTTTCACCACGTCGAAACCTTTTCATTTTGTTTCTTTTGTTTGTTTCCAGACAGTTGACAAAGGTACAAGCTCCACGCCCAAAATGGAAAACATTCGCAAGTGTTGCAAATACAAGGTGAGAGAGAGACGGTGCTGTCATCGCGCTGTTAAGGTCTTTTGTCGGGCTCTGGTGTGGTTTGCTCCTTTCCTATCAAACATACGAGCGTATATCGTCCTATCAAACGTCTCTCATCCTTATCTCCCCTCCTTCTTTTATGTTTTTGTTACTCTCTGATAACACCTCTAATCTTCAGCACTTATATGACCTTATTGTGTTGCAAGTGCCGTAAAACACTTACTAAAACTAAGTATATTGTCCTGAACACATATTCTAAATTTCACCTTCTTTCTTGTATTTGCTGCTCTCTTGTAATCCGTTCCACTTTTATATGACCTACCTGTAGTGCAAGTGCCGTAAAACTCTTACTGACACTCAACTTCTTTTCAGTGTTTACTTTCCATTTTGTTCCTGTCAAAATGTTGCTGTGACCTCGCTCTCTAAAGATGGCAGAAGTTCGCCCTACGGCCCTGCCAGTCTGTGTGTCTCACCATTGTTGAGTTAGTGGGTGGTTGGCGGGTGCTTTGGTGTGGTTTGATCCTTCTTTCCTATAGAAAATCTATCGTCTCTATCTCCCCTCCTTCTTTTTTATGCTTGTTACTTTCTTGTTATACCTCTAATCTTCGGCACGTTTATGACCTTATTGTGTTGCTAGTGCCGTAAAACTCTTTCTAAATTTTTTTTTAAGAGATGGCACAACTTTGCCAGTCTGTGTGTGTCTCTCCATCGTTGAGTTTACTTATCCTGTCATTTGGCCACTCGGTGAAGGTTTTTTTTTGGTGGGGGGGGGGGACTGATCTTTTCCGTCTAAGGAAGATATAAGATAAATGTTTTATACAGTATAACACGGATAGCTCCTTCTTTCCTGTCAAACGTCTATCGTCCTTATCAGCTCTCCTCCTTCTTTTTGTATGTTACTCTCTTGTATCTTGTAACACCTCTAATCTTCGGCATTTATATGACTTTATTGTGTTGCAAGTGCCGTAAAACTCTTACTACCCCCCGGGGCAGTGCCACTGACTGTAGTGTCTTTAGGCCATCCCCAAAGGGGGGACATTTCTCGTTCTAATGCACTATAGAATTGTAAGTGGGATGATTCAACAATTTCATGCTCATAACTGTGCCTGAACTACAACAGGGAACTGCTGCTTTTTCTTTCCTAATCCTTACTATCGTCATTTTCCTCTACTTCTTTTGTATGTTTGTCACACTCTTGTGACCGGCTATTTCCGGGGTGCCTTGATAGTCGAAGCAGACTTTGTGCTGTTGAATCTAGAGAGGTGAGCAGATTAAGTCTGATTCCCTGTAAGTAAGGACTTCTCTGTTGACATCCACCCCTTGGCGCTCATATGACCTTATGCAGTTGTGAACGCCATTAAACCTCTACTAAAACAAACTCTTACTAAAACTAAAACTTCTTTTTTGTGTTTGTTATTACTCTCTAGTAACACCTCTACTCTTCTGCACTTATATGACCTTATTATGTTGCAAATGCCGTAAAACTCTGACTAAAACACAGACACAAATGTCTTGTCCCCCCCAGTACTTGCTGTCAGCCCAGTACCTGAGCGATGGTATGTTGGTGGCCGTGGAGTACACACCGCCCGCCGTGGAAGAAAACCTGCCACCCTCGCTGAAGCAGAAGAGATTTGGGATATCCTGATGTCCGCATACGGTTGGAGGGAGGGGGGGGCGGGTTGTTCGTTTGTGCGTGCAAGTGTTTGTGTGCGAGTGTGTACATGTCGCGACCTCTGTGCTTTCTTGTCGTATCTCCATTTTTTTTAAAATTGAAAATGTGACTTCTTTCTTAAGCTCACTCTTTGTGATGAACTGTTTTCACTGTTATTAAAATTGGAGATAGGACGAGAAAGCACTGGGGTCGCGATGACCTGAGGTGTGAGTGCATTTATATATGTATGTGTGTGTGCATATCATATGCGTGTGTGAGGTTCAGGAATGAAAGGGAGAGAGAGGAAAGAGAACTGGTTTTGTGCCGTCGTCTTGCACGTCTCTCGTAGGACGGAGATGCTCACGGCAGCTGGAGGGACTCCCTGGAAGAACGCAGGCTGTTTGTCCAATAGTTGTGAGAACCGTGGGGAAGTCAGGCTCTTTGTCCAATAGTTGGTCTCTATTGTGAATTGTAGTCAAGTTGCTCATCCCATTTGTGTTCGTTTCTTAGATGGGAGAGAAAGACTTTCTGTACCATGGGTGGGTGGATGGAGGGTGCTCTGGTGCGGTTTGCTCCCTGGGTAGAGTCTGGGTGATCCTGGGCGGCAGCGAATGTTGCAGGGAAATAAGTCGAGGAATTTGTTGGGAACTTTGTTGAATTCTCAATTTGTGTCGCAACGTGGTGGAATCTGGCACTTGTCAAGTTTTGGCCATATAGAGTTATTGGTGTCCTCTGAAAGCTTGTTCATTTATCTTGCTTTCGATGAAAAAAATATCCATTTATCTTTAAGAGAAGTCGACATATTTGCGATTGAAGGAGGTGGTGTCACCTAGTTTCAGAAGTAAAAGTAGCGAGAAAAGGGCCTTCAAAGTTTGGTGGCTTCCATAGCTTAAGGGTCCTTGGAAGCAAATTCGCACATTTTGTGCCTTTAATCGACGTTTCTCCATAAAGTCCACACGTAAAAGTTTTTTTGAATGGACAAAGTGTTAGGCCAAAAAAACAAAAAATTGAAAAAGTTTCCAAACTGGCCGAAAAATGCCGATTTCTCAGATTTCATTATTTTGACGAGTGCCTGATTTCAGCACACTGCTTCACACTTTTGTTATGAGCAGTTGAGAATATGAACGTTGTTTCACAACTTGGACTTGTCGTACTTACTCTTTGCTGCCAGTGACTTGGCCTCTTACATAGCTCAGCTATATCTGGCTGGAGGGAGAAGGCCACTCTGTAGCTTGTTCACTTTCGTCTGACCGCGGTGAAAAGGGCGGGTGCTCTGGTGTGGTCTGCTTCTTCTTTCCTATCAAACATCTATCGTCTTTATCTCCCCTTCTTTTTTGTTTGTTACTCTCTTGTAACACCTCTAATCTTCTGGCGCTCATATGACCTTATGCAGTTGCGAGCCCCGCAAAACCCCTACTAAAACTAAAACTATAAGGAGCAATTTGTAGGCAAGGTTACTTTAAGTCTTTTATTTTAGTGATCCTGTGTATGCATCCAAAGAGCGGTTTTTAATGTAGGGCCCAAAGAGAAAAACTTTTTTATTACTGGATCAAGATTTTTAATATTTTTTTTTGGGGGGTGGCCTATAGAAGTGCTATGCAAAGTTTCATGGGCATAGGTAAATTCCTCAATGAGAGAATTTTTCAGACGAAAGTGAACAAGCTATAATAATACTAAACCTTTGATGCCGAGTAGGGGCCGCAAAATATCGTCGTCGTGTCGGTATCGATCAGCCCGTGGGCTGGGAGTATGAGACCCTTAGTCCGTGCTGATGTCGAAGAGAGAATATGTGAGGCAGCGTGGTGGAATCAGGCTCTCGTCAAAATAATCAAAGTGAAGAAACTTGCATTTTTCCGCAGGTTTGAATTTTTATCAAATTTTTGTTTTTTGGCTCAACCCCTTTCATGCCCATTAAAGAACTCATTTCTGTGTGGATTTTTCTTAAAAACGTTGATTAAAGACTCAGAAAATGTAAATTTTCAGTTACCGCGCACTCTTAAACTGAGGAAGTAACTAATCTTTGGCGGCCATTTTCTCACTCATTTTACCTCTAAAAACAGGTTACCCCCACCTCCTTCATTCGCAAATATATCGACTTGTATTCAAAGTAAATGGATATTTCTTAAATTGAAATAAAGACAAGAGAACAAGCTTTAAGATGATACCATTAACTCTACAAGCCCAAAAATTGACGAGAGCCTGATTCCACCACGCTGCCTGGCATATGTGCTTTTGGGTTTTGAAACTATGTTGTCCACAGTGTTATGCTATTCAAATTATTTTAAAACCTGTTTTGTTTTAATAAACAAATATCTGAATCATTTCCATGTCTTTTCATTATTATTTTTATATGGTTTGTGTGTGTAAAGTTTGGATGTTTGTACCAGGGCTCAGCTATGTTCTCAGTGTGTTGTTTCTCTTCTGTTCAGGGACTTCTGAGTGTGTGGGAGTTAAATTACATACCTTCCCCCCCCCCCCCCCCAGGCAGTGCTACTGGCTGAGGTGTCTTTAGGCCATTCCCAAAGAGCTTCTAGTAGACTTGTAAATAGGCTGATTTATCAATTTCATTATTGTCATGCTCATACTGTGCCGGTACAACATAGGGGAAACTGCTACTTTTTCTTTCCCCATCCTTACTACCGTCCTTTTACCTCTACTTCTTTTGTATGTTAGCCACTCTCTTGTGAACTGCTGTTTTCGGGGTGCCTTGATGGTCGAAGCAGACTTTGTGCTGTTGAGGCTAGAGAGGTGAGCAGAGTAAGCCTGATTCCTTGTAAGGACTTCTCTGTTGACATCCACCCTTTGGCGCTCATATGACCTTATGCAGTTGCAAGTACCGTAAAACCTCTACTAAAACGAATAACGTACTGTACTGTTGTGGAGAGGGTCCACCCGAGACTTGGTCTTCTGGGGTGAGTCAACTCATCTACATGTACAATCAGGGAGAGCAGCCTGGATCTTCTGCCCGGGCCACGCGGGGGTAAACCGGCAACGAGAGAACAGACAAGCTGGCTGGAGAAGCAAAAGTGGGAGGGAATTTGACACTGAACCCACCAACCGTCCTAACCGCTTTAAGCTTTGAGGAAGAATAGGGCGGATAGCGGTTCCCACACTCTAGGTAGATTGGAGGAGAAGGGGATTCAAAGAGGAGAGGGGAAAACACAGCCATCTGTGCGGACCAGTCCGACGGATCTCCAACCAGATTATGATGGAGACTGTAAGCAGACAGACTCTGGGATGGACCATGAAGAGGGGGGGGGGGAGCAGAGATGGACATGTTCCGACTGTAGTGACCCCAACACTGTGAACAAGGTGTGACAAGGTCATCTCATTTCTGTAGGTTCACAGAGGTACACATAACTGACAGACTGTACATAAACTTGTACGTTGACAGACTGTACATAAATACGTACATTGACAGACACTACATAAACACGTACATTGACAGACTGTACATAAACACGTACATTGACAGACTGTACATAAACGCGTACATTGACAGACTACATAAACGCGTATAATATTGTACCTGACGTGCGTTTGAGGCTCAGAGTACGCAAGTCTTACGTTTTCATTCTGGAAAATGCATACATGTATTTTCTCTTTTCTTGCACTGCTCCAGTGGGTGGTTGTCGGGTGCTCTGGTGTGGTTTGCTCCTCCTTACTTGTCAAACACCTATTGTCTTTATCTTTATCTTCCCTCCTTCTTTTTGGGGTTTATTACTTTCTTGTAACACCTCTTGTCTTCGCACTTATCTTATATGACCTTATTGTGTTGCATGAGCCGTAAAACTCTTACTAAAACTAAAACTAGCATTGCTCCTCATACACCTACCAATGCTGAAGAAACATTGTGAACTTTCAAAACAAGATTTGCTAAAAATGATGACAGCGAGGCACTCAAGTCAATTTGCAGAGATCTCTACTAAACATTTGGGTGGTTGGCGGATGCTCTGGTGTGGTTTGCTCCTTTTTTCCTACCAAACATCTATTGTCCTGATCTCCCCTCCTTTTTTGTGTTTGTTACTCTCTTGTAACACCTCTAATTTTCGGCACTTCTATGACTTTATTGTGTTGCAATTGCCGTAAAACTCTTACAAAAACTAAAATATTTCTGACATTACAGTTGCAGGTCAACTTAGTATATTTTGAATTTATTGAATGCAGAAAAGTGAAGGTGTGCAGTGTTGGGAGTTGGGGGAGG